TTGTAGATCATTGTTAGGAGAAAATACAGTCCTTTGATTGGTTGTTTCTCACAGAAAGTTAACCTTGCATCTCTTTGTGGCTGTGTCAGATCATCCATATGCTAACTGTATCCGCCTACTCAAAGCCATTGTTCTCATTTTCTCACCATCAATATTGGGGACATAAACATTGACGTAATTTACTGTCAACCAATTTGGCTAGCAGCCAGCTCTCACCACAGTACTAGTCTTAGTCAGCCAGAAAACGAGCTAGAAGTCATTCAGGCAGCACAACTACGTGGTTCCTTAGAGTCCCACGTCTGATAGACCAAGTATGTATTGCTGTTGAAAGTAGAAAAACCCTTATTTCTAATTGGTGGCAAATCAAAATCTAATAAGGGTGTGGTGAGAGATGGTTGCTAGCCAAATTCATTGACAGTAATTGAGGTCAAAGGTCAAGATGGACAGGCGAATACAGTTAACTGACACAGCCACAAGAGATGCAAGGTTAACTTTGTGTGAGAAACAACCAATCAACAGACTGGATTTTCTGCTAACATTAACCTACAATAATGTACATCAAAATCTATAAATACGTGTTGATTTTCCGTAATAAACATTCTGTTGCCTGGCCCTTGTCTTCTGTTCTTACAAGGGCAGCTCCGTACTTTTTCCTGCAGAAGAAAAGTAAAGGCAATTAGTAACCAGCAAATAAAATCTGTTAAATCCATTTTCAGTCACTTTAACGACTAATGGGGATAGCAATCCAAACTGTTTCTGTTCATAATGATAAGCACAAACACCTTAGATGTGAGCTTGTAGTGACTCATTTTATTATTTATCATCGTAGTATACTTTCACTATTCAATTGGAATTTGATTTGTTTATCACTCTAAAGACTGCATGTTAACAACTGATACATTGTGCTCGCTCAACTTTTGAATTTTGATTACTGCGATAATACACGTTCGTACTCCTTCTCAAGTGCCTTTTGATTTACGTTGTGGATGTCGAGTATTCAAAACGTTTGGATACAATAATAAACGCGAAGAAGTACTAGGATATACGTGTCCGCTAGTTTGGTGAAATAGAGCACCACAACAAGCTAATCAACATTTTTCATTGGACTTAAGCAGCAGAGGTAAAATAAACAGAGACGGCGTTTAATACTGAACCTTCAGATCATTAAGTTGTACTTAACATACCATTTTATCTTTTCTGTTAGTTAGACCATTTCTAGTTCACTGTTTTTTCCAACCCCTTATGACATATGTAATTTTTCGATCTCTTACGTAGTTCCCTATTTTTCTTTGTTTCTATTTGTATCCTAATCACAACTCACTCATTCAATTATTCGCCTTACTATGTAACTGTATTACGCTTATTCAACTTCTTTCATGTGTTGATTAACATTTATAACTATGTTTTTGACAACACATCACCACTACCGTCTTACCTATCTTCAACCCCATAGTTACAATTTGATTACTCATCACATTTCTGAAATATCTTGACAACAATAGCACCGGCTTGTTTTGATTATTATGGAATAAACCTAATGCATGAAACGTACAAAAATAAGGAAATACAGTTGTCATTGTACAGCTATGTGAATGAATTCGCCGGTGGCACAGTAGTCAGGACTCTCGCCGACCATGCACATGGTCCGGGGTTCGATCTTCTGCCTACGCAAACCCGATATCTATGGTCGGCCTGCAAAATTTGGGCTACCGATATCCATACTTGTACGGAAAATACGGTGTGGTATCAAGCTGTAATCAAAATAAAAAAATAAATAAAAATGAGACTTCGCTAAGATACGTGTTTTGTTTTCATAAAATTGTGTTTGCCAAATAGTTTCATTGCTGTGCAAAAGGCATGTTAATCATGTAAGTGCTTAATTGATGTGATTAAACTACTGTTGTATATCATGAGATGCAAGAGGAAAGTTGTGTGTGAAAAGGATGCTCAGAGTCCAACAATATAATATTCACCTATTTTTTGCATGATTTTAAGTGCTTGTCCACAAAAGCTTTAATGGGTTAGTTTAGTGACACTCCACTGGCCCCACTGACAGCTTTCATTGTCTTTCACATTGGAACAAATTGTTTCCTAATTAGCCCAGGAGAAATTAAAGGGGAAGAAGTGTAGGTAGAATGCAAGAATTAACAAACTGTTCTAGGAAATCCGTTTAATAAGGCTGCCTGAAATAATTCGAGCTCGCTTCCAGTTGGCTTCCACTAGAAATGATGCTCACCCAGACCTGAGCTTTGGAAATTTAGAGGCTGAGGGTGTTGATGTTTACAGATAGTACGAATTACGCTAACGTAAGATCTAATACCCACAACTTTTATAGTATTTTTCCACGTAGACCAAAGGCGAAGCAAGACTCCGGAATTGATCGGCCAAATTACGAAGTATATTTCAGGACCAAATCGGGGTGAGAGATGATTGCTCCACTAGCTAGTGATCGTGCAAGAACTAACGGACGTAACACGATAGCCTTCAGCCAAACAAATCAACTAAAACAGTGGGGGTCAGCACACAATATTCATTGATGAATGCTGTGGCCAGTTATTCTGGGGAATTACCTACCACCACAACCACTGTACTTGCTGACACTTTAGCCCAGCCGGCCTAGCCTGGTGTGTTTCAAGTAAAGTAATATGGAAACGACCTGTTGGAAGTTCCCCAAGTTTCACATTCAGCAGGGAAAAAAGCTTACCTGGAATACAAGAAACCTCGGGCCACTCGTCATAACTATTACCTAAATAAGAGCGCATTCTCCATCAAAAGTATAAATCTCATAGAATAATTGGCATAAAATAAAGGACTGGTTGTAGTCACATTATAACCTGAAAATTAAAAAGCGTTCAGAAATATGAAACCCTTAAAGTTTCCAAAAAATTGGATGCGACTTTTGGGCATCATTTATCTTAGTGCAAATTTCTCTTGGTGATAGTTCATCTGATAAAGTAAAACACTTTTAGGCAACATTACGACCGAAATATAAGAATATATTGATTGATTGACTGCAGGAGCTTTTTAATTATTTCCATATTTCCCCAAATATTTCTCGTTTACATATGGCTGACTGGACTCATCTGAATTGGGGGCAATTTCGATTTACATATAATAGTACAAATATTCGCCGCCTATCTTTCTCACACCATCGACTCTTTAAATGATAAATACCCCTTCAGTCTTCTGCCAGATGTAGATAAGGTAAAGTGGCTGATGGTAGCTTTGCAGCACCGTTTCCGGAGGTATTTTGGCCTGTGAAAATGCCACATTTTAACTTTCCATACTTATCACACTCGTAATTCTGACGTAGGCGAGGTATAGACCATCTGGGCTTCGTTAAATCCTCCAAAAGTTTTTGAAGTGCTGTAGCAGATGCAGCAGGCGCGTTTCCGGGATCGAGGCACGGTCTCACCACCCTACACTTGAATTATGGGGGATTAAGTAGGAAATACTTCCCCTAAAACCATAAGTAGTAAAGTGAAAATGAAGTTCAGCATTATTACTGGTAGGAATTTTATGTTAGCTCGAGAGTCGTATGTTGTGTAGCGAATTATGTGTGACTCTAGGAGCTTCGACGAATTGTTGAAGAGATGTGACCCTATAAAAGCACCTCTGTCATTTGTTACTTCTTTAGGCACTCTAACACAGCTTTGCAGTGTTGAAAGTCTTTCGCCACCGTTTCTGTTGTGATTTCAATAAGTGACGCAGCTACAAACAATCTGATGAATCTATCGATGCATGTGGGCAAACTGGCTGATCCGTTTGAGCGTGGCAGGAGAACTACCAAGACCATTCGAACACGGGCCAAACGAGTATCTGGCTGCACAGGAATTCCTGAAGTCGGTGTTCAGTTTCTGCTCACTTTCTCCTGGGATGCCATGGACTCTCTCACTCATTTCTGCACGTCGCCCTGAAGGTTTGACAGTTATATATCGCTAAGAATACTTTAGCCGAAGCTTTTACTCCAGGGTGTGATAACGAGTGAAAATCAGTAAATGTAGCTTTCCGCATAATTTTTAGGGAAGAAGGGGTTGGGTGTCGTTACTGCTGTATTGCAGTGTATCAAGTCATTATCTTTAAGAGATGATACTCGTTTAATTTGGGGACTACAGTGATTTGCAGTAGGGACATACTTTAACTCTTCAATTTTAAGCGATTGCCTTGCATTCTAAAGTGTTTTGATGCGTTGCATTCACGGACATTCTGGATAGTGAATCAGTCAAACGTTTCCCCTTTCCCTTCGCGTATATAATTTCATCGGTAAACTGAGACTTAGAATCAAGAGGACTAATTTCATTTGGTGAGTAACTGTACGTTTTTGTGTTGAGTGGTTAAGTGAGAGGCTCGTTATCTGTGTGGAAAGTGTGTGGTCTGTCTTCTACCACATGACAAAAGTGGCTAATTTCTAAGTAGGTTGCTATCAAATCTACCAAAAGTGGAATTTATCATTCCAGCAAAATTAAGTCATTTAGGGAAGAGTGCACTGGCTCCCGGCTATTACTTGTAGGGGACCAAAGACTTTTGTCAACTCAGTTGAACAGCAGCCGTTTCACCGTCAATACTCAATTTGTTTATCCGTGCGGACTAAAAGACTGGTTCCAGAGAAGTAGCTAAGATGAGACATATATTCTACCTTCTTAAGTCAAAACCGCATCGGAATCGATGATGGACATGGATTTCTTAAAGAAAAAAAATAATACTAGCTGAAATAAATATAATGCTGATTAAAGCAAGCAGCATGACTCACAATCGGAAACTATGAAGACTATAGGCAAATGGTACATATGATACTGAGTGTGCAGTAGTATGCTGTGTTGTGTTTTGCATAAAATGTTGGCCTGAAAGACTAAGCTTTTAAGCATCCTGTCAATTGCCGTTATTTGTTTAGGATATTGTACTGTGTAGCGCCAAATACGTAAGGTGGGCTTCGATGGCGGGATTTTGATGTGAGTGAAATGAAAGTTTGCATTTCCGAATAGGATGGAATCGGATATCTGATGGGAGGATATAATAGCAAACTTATAGTATCAAAAGATGATTCAAATCACACGGACAGGGTGAATATAGTTGATACAAACGAGAATTTTAAATCGACGGACGGCTATCGAGTGGATGGTAATTTTTAAGCTCTGTGATATCCTGCGATTACAGAAAAACTGGTCAGTGCTCGTCAGTGTATGAAAATGGACTTACAAAATCCCTCGGACTCTGTCATACCAAGCAGGGGTGAGATAATGATCGTATTGTATGATTTTGCTGAATCAATGAGCTCTCAAATCAGCATAAAGAGGGGTTAGTGCATTTTATTTTATCTATTCCCCTTACTAATTTTCTGTTTTCACTCAAGTTTCGGTACTTGTGATATACTTAGTTGAATGTTTTTACTGAAATCCTTGGGTGTTTATATATCCAATATATCCAATATCGTTTTTACGAGCTAGTATAAACCAATTTGATTTCTTTCTGCTCGCCTCTTGATTGTGAGGTAGACGTTCCTGATCTTCGGTTAACGTCTGCGTAGCTCTTCCCGCCGCTCGACTGTCGTAGCTTTGGTTGGCTCCAAAAGGAGTAGCGCAAGGATTAATTATATGTGGTTTGTAGTATGAGGTGTGTTAAGACTGTTACTACTGTGAATGGAGTTGATCCTTTCACCAGTTGGTCCTTCGGTATCGTCGTCAATAGAAAATAGATAATAATAATAGATGTAATTAGTGAAGGTATTCAGACTAACAGACAGAAAAAGAATAAGAAAACGTAGCAAGTCAGTCAACCGGTATATATATATATATACCGGTAATAATAATATTTGATCACGGTTATTTCGGAACTCATTGGCTTAAGCAGTTAACCTTTCGCAGCTGTATGCTTTCACAGTCCTTTCCATTTAGTGTGGTTAATGGTTTCTTTCATAAACTTGCAATAGGTCTTCGAAGAGAAAATTATTTCATTTCATTCTAACCTTACGGATTTTACCAGCCCCTCACCTGCTGGTTGATGTTACCACGCAAATATATTTAACTTTATCTGATAGCAACTTGATTTATTGGTCTAAGGTCACCGTTGAGATTTGTGTGTGTATCTTTGAAATTTTGTTAAATGCATTGCCTTACTGAAGACCGTGTGCCTTAATTTTACTGATCAGGCTAGAATTGTTTTTAGGGATCGTCTAATCGTTTTATCATTATTAAGTTCTATCAAAAAAATCCATAAAATCCTTCCTTCCCATATATGACGGATGTTTTAATGGGGGATTTTGGTGTGGAAACGTGTGCATGGATTTCTTAACTGGGTGTAAGTTGTTAAGTCAAACTGCTCTGCATCGTTGTGTAATCTAATAGTATAATAGTCTAATCCATTAATCATTTTCATTGTTCCACTATATCCCTTGGGTTAGTGACTAACGTTTGGCATAGATAAAAGAGTGTGGAATGGTATCCATCAAATATAGTCTCTCACTATACTGGTAGCACGTCTCAATACCTTTTAAAAACCACATCCAGTGTATTGCATCTGTCTATGTTCTTCTAATGTGCATAGAATTTTACATGCTTGGAAACTCGACCCAGCGAAGTTCTTGCTTCCTGTTATAATCACTTTTTGCACTTATTTTACCTGACACTCCGTGTAGCCCATGGATGTGGAGTAAATAATTCATATGAACTACGATAAGCGGAAATAAGGTGAAGGTATAGTAACAGGAGAAATATGAGAACTTAGCAGGTACGTGAGATTACGAAGAGTGGGTGCGTCTGCTCCTGTAAGACAGGTTTTGAGAGATATCACTGACAGTCTCTACCCGTCGGCTCTTAGTACTCCAGGGACCCCCAAAAGGCAGTTTACACCCCCTTACTCGATGACGAAGGCTGTAGCTCGGAACACATATCCTAGTCGTCGTAATTGATATAGCTTTACAAACTTATTGATTGACATGCGCTCCTTACCTAGTGCTATGCGTCTAACCCCAATATTACTCACCATAGTATACCACCGGAGATGGAGGATAGGACGAGACCATTTGTGACCAGACACCTAGTCTCTATCACGTCTGCACCTTTCAGTTGTTTTGTTTCACAGCCATAAAGGACGGAACAAACTGCTGTGAAGTATATAGGTTCTTTGATTGATAGCTGATATCATGACTACTCTAAAGATGACGTCAGTTGGCAAATGCTACATGGACCTTTTTGTATCTGCTGTGGAAATTCGTCACTAGTCAGTCCATTAAGGAATTCTACCATAATAAAATGTGATCCATCAGTGAAGTCTTGTTAATATCCATTCGCTGACGTTACTAGTAGCAACGCGAGCTTATTGTTTTGGTTGATCTTTTTGAGTAATCAGTTCACTAGTTTGTACTGTTTTTCTGTTTTCTGATTTTGAAAGAAACTGTCACTAAACATCAGTGATCTTATAAGTGATATAACAATATATTTTGATAATTGTTTATTGCTCTTTTCGTTTTCTACCATTTTAATGTAGGTGAGTTAGTTCGCCTTCTAAGTTACAGTCCTGCTGGAGACTGGTCTGAAGTAGAAGCTTCCCTTGTCTTACAACCAATTTCCAAGACTGGACCTGGTAGCTCCACTTCTGGGTCAGAAAGTCATCCATCCCAGTGTAAAAGTGGAGCTAATACAAAACATAATCAGGAGTCTGCCAGCGAAACTGGAAGTAATGTAAATGTTTCCTGCATGTATTTTTTCAATAATTACCGACGTGGATGGGTGCCAACAAGCTACTTAGCCACTGCAAATGTCTTTCAGAATTCTGTAACCCAGAAACAAGTTTTCCCTTCTCAGCAGCTAGTTACTTGTGGTAGTTCGGAAAAAGCAAGTTGTTCAATAAATTCTTCCCACTTGGTCAATCAACAAGCCGTCTTTACAAATGACCATATACAGCCCAGAGTATCGAATGTACCTAATAAGGGTCCACTCCATCCCGTTATTATGGATTCATCACCCTTAAGTCTTTTGGAACCAAGCCTTCTGCCCTACACATGGTACCATGGTGCTGTTTCAAGACAAGCTGGAGAGCACCTTCTTCGGAGTGGTATTACCGGCTCTTTTCTTGTCAGAGCATCAGAATCTGCACCTGGTCAACTTTCCGTTACTGTACGTCATTTAGGAAGAGTATATCATTATCGGATTAGCCAAGACAGCAGGGGAATGGTACGTAAGATAAACTTTCTTGATGTATTTTCTCTGTTCCTATTCTTAGTGTTCTGCTTAAATGATATGTATGGCTACTCAGTTTGTATTAAATTCTGTCATTTTTGATTTGTACGTCAGAGATTAGAAAGATTATTCTCACTATGCGTTATTTTGTAATGAAACATTTTTGGAAAAATATGGAGTGAGAAATATAGTAATAAACTGCCAATTTTATGAGTAGTTTATTAACTAAGATGGACATTTTTTATCATAACTAATTTCAGTGTATTGATTTTTCTGCACGTAACTTAGCCAGTAGCGTTTTATGAAACTAAGAAATTATAGTAGTTTAAGGTCGGTGGCACAGTGGTTAGGACTCTCGCCGACCATGGACATGGTCCGGGGTTCGATCCCCTGCCGGCGCACACCCGATATCTATGGTCGGCCTGAATTTGGGCTACCGATATCCATGCTGAAAATTCCACACTTGTACTGAAAATACGGTGTGGAATCAAGCTGTAAATCAAAATCAAAATAAAATAAAATAAAATTTAAATCAGTTTTAGCTGGATGTATTTTCGCATTGATTGATGGTTTAGCTTCAAAAATTGGTAACAAATCAGTGTTGGTCTTCGATTATGCATTTACTGAACAGCTGCTACGTTATGCATGAACTCTTGTTACCCCGGTGACGAAATCCTGTAAAACGTCCCGTAAACCCATATTAATTGTTAATATAACAATAAGTCGTGTGTTATGTGCACACTTATCAGTCGGATAGTCACCCTTATCAAGTGCGCACGGTTTAAAATAGTGAGATTGGCTAATACTATCGACGTTTTCCGTCCAGAGATAAACTCTGTTAACAATTTGTGTAGTCGTTCGTAAGATTTGATAGTGTGGAATATTCCCATATTATGAATTAAAAGTCAATCTGAACGAAGAATATTCTTTTCAATAATTTCTCCTCTTCAGGTTCTTACAATTATAAAATGTTATAATATTTGTTATAAATTTCCAGACTGTAGGTGTTACGAACTTCCTGGAATAATATTTGTTGTCGTTACAATAATGATAGCCATTTATGCAGCGGATACATTTTTAACGTAGAATAACAGATTAGCAGTTATGGGGTGTCAAAATAAATAGTCGTATTTGTGTGACAAACGTGGTAGGCTGAATTCGATTACAAAATATTGTAAAACGGGAGACAATGGTGATTAATCATAATAGATTTGTAGAGTGTGGGGTAGGAAAATTGACAAGTCAGTTCAAGGTTATAAAAGGTGTCAGGTGGCTGGCTAGTACAAAGTGGTCTGTGTTAAACAGGAGATAATAAGACTGCAATGAGAGGTTCATAATGAAATAACGAATATGTGAAATGAAACAGGTGGAGGCATATATTGAGAAAAGAGATAATATCACTAATAATAAGTCCGGGTAGTTTAAGTGGAAAATTCGACAGTATTGACAGAATGTTTGCATGAAGGGCATAAATTATGACGAATACTAATAATAATTGTAATAATAAGCAAAGGAAAAAAGCCAAGAGGGTTAAGGGGAAGGAGCACTCTTGGTGAGAAGAAGAATCATCAATCCAATTTTGGCCACGGTAGGAACAGCGTCTGGATGTGTTCTTTTTGGATACAAAGTCCCGGTTTAGTCGATCTTATTGCAACAGCTTTAGCTATGTGTAAAATGTATCCGCCGCATAACTGGCCTTTATTGTAACGACAACAAATTTTCTATTTTATAATTGTAAGAACCTGAAGCGGAGAAATTATTGAAAAGATTATTCTTTGTTCACATTGACTTTTAATCGTTCGTAGTTCAAACTATATAAATTATTTGTGTTTGAATATAAAGTTTGTGGCTATATGTATCCTCAATTGACGTGTTGTTGGTTTTATCAGTATGATCATTTCTAGTGTTGATAATTCTCTTCTTTTGCGCTCTCTTTTGAGTACTGAATCCCGAGGAAATGATAGATGTATTAATTTGTTTAAGAGCCAATGCACATATATCTAGGTAATAAAATCTTATAGCCACTTTTATACAGCTCATTCTACTTCTTTCTCATGTTGTTACCTCCTTTTTACTATTAAAAAATCTAATTTCACATTCCAGTTTTTATTCAAGTAGTCTATAATAATTATTATTAAGCAGTTTATATCTCCTTTGATTTCGTTTAAGATTGAATCATTTGCCGGACAATGATAACCAATATGCTTATTTACTCCTAAATATTTTGATTAAAGTCGATTGAATTGATCAAGTATTTAGCTTAAAAATTATTTGATGTTAAGTGTTACAGGCGTTGTCCTATAAAATGAAATTATTCTTGTCTTAAAATAGTAGCAGAGAATGTTAAACTTATGGTAGAATGAGAACTGTTTAGCGAAATATAAGTTAAATGACACTATGATCATATTGTTACGGGAATCTACCTGACGTAAATGTGCGTCACGCACCGCTTAGATTTATTTTAACAAGCTTCGTTAAATCACCAATATATGAGAGGATTTTTTAGAGGACCAATTATTAGTCATTTTTTTTTGTTTGAACAGGGTTAGAACAAATATTGGTACAGAATAAAATGGATGTATTTCATTTCACTGGTTCTCGTCATCTGCGTACAACCTATAATATTTAGTAAAACCAGTTATATTACAATATAACATACATTTTGTTTCTCTTCATGAATAAATTCTCCATTGAGGATCATTGCAAGAAAGGCATGGCGAAACAAAACATTAGGATGATAAGGTTATCTCAAATTATATATACATAAAGTGAATAATTTTGTTGTTAGGATAGTGATAAGTCCGTATGTTTTGTTTCACAACGACTTTATTAAAACAATCCATACGCGAATGACTCCTGAAGACAAATAAAATGTACGCTGATGGAATAGTATTATAACTTGTTTTATTAAATGATACAGGTTGTTTGCGGCTGACGAGAACCGACGAAATAAAATACATTCATATTATTTTGCACCAATCTTTGTCCTGTCAGTGTTCAAATTGATAAGGGCGAATTCGTGTATGACTTTTCTGTTATTGTCGTTGAAGTACATTGTAACAGCAGAAGACAAGGGCCAGGCAACAGATCGTTTATTAAGGAAAATCAACACATTTATAGATTTTAATGTACATTATTGTAGATTGTTGTTAGTAAGTTTGTGCGTCGGTGGCATAGCGGTTAGGACGCTCGCCGACCTTACACATGGTCCGGGGTTCGATCCCCGGCCGACGCACTCCTTTACCTCACTAAGCCAGAAATAATTCTGGTAAAGAGGAAAGGTTGGGCATGAGGCTAGCAACCCCATCCTGTAAAAATTAAACACTGTTACAGAAACTTCAAGTCACTAGCTTGAGGCCCTATGTTCCACTAAGAACGTGAAAGGAAAAATATATAATATATATATATATATTGTTAGTAGAAAATACAGTCCTTTGATTGGTTGTTTCTCACAGAAAGTTAACCTTGCATCTCTTTGTGGCTGTGTCAGATCATCTATATGCTAGCTGTATCCGCCTACGCAAAGCCTTTGTTCTCATTTTCTCACCACCAATATTGGGAACATAAACACTGACGTCAATTACTGTCTACCAACTTTGGCTAACAGCCAGCTCTCACCACAACATGATCAAAGAGGAATTATGGGATGCAGATGAAGTCAACTAAGAGGTGTAACTTCTTCTTCTTTACTTCGGCTATCTGCTACGGGAGGATGAGCCGGCTTCATGAACATCTCGAATAAGAGAGTTCATGAAGTTTCATGGGAATTTGGTACGAGTGATGTCCCCAGAATCGCTCGGCCTTTTGTTTGAGAGTGCAGCTCTAGCCTTTACACAACCAAGTGTGACCTACAAGGCAGTAGGAGTGGAGTAGGGAGTCCACTATCCATTGTCAGCCGGTGACTGGAGTTCGGTTCATACGCCTTTTTGAATGGGGCCAGACATCCAGGACATCCAACAAGCCCTTTGTCCATACGTCTGCCGGTGAGCTCGAGTGAGCTTCATACGCCAGTCGTTGGATGTTTGGAATCAGGGTTTAGCCATCTCCCCTAGACTGTCATCCAAAGGACAGTCAACCCGGTGAAGAGCGCCGGGCATCCGCTTTCGCCCTCTCACTTTGGTGAAAAACACCTCCGCCACGTGAAGGCAGTGAGTAGGACTTCCTCAGGAGAGGCTATGTAAGACGCCCGGTCATATGGGAGCATTTCAAGAGGTGTGCGGAGGGGTGGCCAACCCGCAGCGCAAGGCACCCACTCCCGACCATCCTGAGGCTTTGGAGGCAAGAGGTGTAACTTTATGATAATGGTAATTTTGAAGTCACTGGTCATTAACACCAGCATGCTGAACAGTCGTATAATTCCATGGAATTATGGTCATGATTTACGCTAGGTGTATGCTGAATTAGGTATCCAACATATCTAAGGTTTCTGTACTACTATCTTCCAGTATCCAGGTAATTAGACAAACTTTGGTGGTATATGACATGTGCACTTCAAAACACTATTCCTTTTGATGAAGCCATTTCGAATCACAATCGTGACACATTTTTCACATCTGGTACTAGGGTTAGTGGATTGCGATTATGGAAGCTTCTTTGCTTTCTTTTTTTTTCATGTTCACACTATATATTTTACTCGGACAGCGGTTAACCCAATTGTCGCATAAATTATTTTCTCTACTTGAACCATTCAAATAAGTAGAAGTAGAGATCAGATATTTTGAACTGTATCTATTGATTCTTGTGTATGCGTTGCATGCGCAGGAATCCTTAAGTTTTCTTTTTTTTTTCTTGACGCTTATCGTCTTATATACAGTCACACAGACATATACTGTCTGTTAACTTTTTGTAGAGTTTGTAATTGCTTGTCTCATATACATATATTCACTTGAAAAGACTATGTTCACATGCACTCCTAAGCATTTTCATGTATCATGGTGTATTTGGAAAAAAAAATGATCTCGGTAATTTTTATTAAAGTGGAAGCAGTTTAAACA